TCGGACAAGCAGCATTACATTTTTTCGCTGTTCAGTAAAGACATCGCAGCCCCACTTATTTTGGAGTTAAACTACCGTCTGTGTAGAATTGAGAGATGCATTTGATCCAAGAAATTACCCTAACTACTATTCTCTCCCTGTGGTATTAATGTGTTATACCTCCCAGTTAAAATAAGCCCTAACAATATTTTGTTATAACTGGTAGGCAAATATTAGCGGGTATAGTAGTGTATCCTTTCCATGCTACTTTCCAACCCGGTGCGACCCTGCAAATTAACACTAGAAAGAGCTTATCTTTTTTACGTTACACATTAAATCGAATAATGCATTTTTAACAAAATCTAAAACTTTTAATCGTTACTTATGTACATAGATAACAAAATATAAACCAACACACGCATTTTTTTCGCAAAACTAAGAGAAATTTAAAATTCACGAAATATGTGTAAAGTGACCGACCGCAAGCTAATTTAGATTAGTTAAATTGTAGCTAAAACTGTTGCGCGGTTTGTGGACAACAAAATAGCATTACGCATGCCTTGTCGGAAATTATTATCGTTTTTTGTTTTTCAGCTAATAACACCACAATTCGATAGTCCTTTATAGTAGTGGAAAGACCTATAATCTTAGGCTATTTGTTTGTCAATTATACCCTCAAGCAGGGTGTTCGATAACTCGATTTGTTTCTACTACCGGTTTTGGAGTTATTCGAAAAACGGAATTTAAAAAAAAACGGATGTTTGCTTTTAATTTTTCGCGTTTGGGTTACGTTTACAGTTAGTTACAAATGAAAGCCAAGCAGTTAGGAAGTAACCTCGGACATAACATAAGGTATAAAAAAATGGAATTCGACAAGGGGGCGTAGCACCTGCCATATGCGGGACATTTTTAATCAGCTATAACTCTGAACCCGTATATCACATGACTTTGGAAATTGGTGTGTTGACGTGCATACTTAAGGTAGATGCTTTCAGTAAAGTAGATATAACTTTGTAAAAGGGGCGTGGATCAACCTATAGGTGTGAAATTGTTATCAGCCATAACTTCGGAATCATAAGTCATATTACTTTGAAATTTGGTGTGAAGACAGATTCTATGATAAATACTTAAATTAAAGTATCCATATGTATAAATGAGTTTGTAAAAGGGGGCGTGGAATATCTTACAGGCGTAAAATTTTTGTTATAACCCTGGGACGCACATCACATGCTATTAACTTTGATCAGCTGTTTTTACAAGTAATTAACTTTTCACCATGCATGGTGAGTTAACAAAAAAGTTGGGAATTCCACCGTTCAATGACAATGACAAAATCACGAGAATGAAGCATGATCAATTGACACTCTATTGCAGAGACGGAATAGGGCGGTTATTTTCATGATTGTTGAATTTTTCGTGCAAGGTATTTTCTTATGTGCACTTAAGAGATGTGTGTATATCCCGAAGCCACAAAACCGCAAGGCAAACCGTTCACATTTCAAATGTTGTTGTTTTGCGAGCAAATTAGATTGCCTGAAGCAATAATCCGCTATTTCGCAATGAATCGATTAATGCAGGGGGTGATTGACCATAGAACGCCGCAGAACCAACACATATCATAACCACATGCATACATGCAAATGTACGGATTTTTGCACTTTGTCATTGACAGCAACTGAAATACATACAAATTAATGCTTAAATATAAACTTGTTTCCCATATTAAATTACATTTTACATCTCGCTTTTACTCTGCTTTAAATGTGAGTTAGATAGTTTGAAAGGGCCTTTTTTAGGTTTTAAAATTTATCTGCCCTTTAAACACAAATTTTGTTCTGAAAAAAAAATGTGTTTGAAGGGCAGATAAATTTTAAAACCGGCACTTAATGTCTAGTTTAGCTTGATAGATATCCTGCACGCTCAGTCATAAGGCTCCTGAAAGTAATTATTTGATGGGAAATATCTTCAGTTTCATATATTTTTAGTTTAACTTCGATTTTAAGGCTACAGTGTAGTTCTTTAAATATACAAAATATATACATTTATGGTATTTAACTCCTAACTACTTAGATATATTTACAAAACAAACGGAATAAACATATCAATGTGAAATCCAGAGACCAAGAACAAAGGGTATGATCGAAACTAAATGTCGTTATCGTAGTTTTGTTCCCAATAACGCTTCAAAACCAAAACTAAAATGGGAACGAAACTGTTGAGAACTTCCTCGATGGGAATTATATAAGAACAAAATCCTGTGAAACGTTTCCAAAGAGAACAAACTGCGAACCTTATTTTCGGGAACATTTCTAGAAGAACAAAATGGGAACAAAAGTCTACGGAACGTTTTGGAAAAAAACAAACGGTAACAAAAATCTTAGGAACTTTCTCTCGAAGAACAATTTGGGATCTAAGGTCTCAGGAACTTTCTGACAGAGAACTAAAGGGGAACAAATCTGCTCTAAACTATTGGAGATGAATGGATGCGAAAACAACATGTTTCAAATAGCGTTCATGAGTTTGAAATGTTTGAATATCAAAATTAATCAAAAAAGAACTGAAAGAAAGATAATTATGTAAATTAAGTCAACGAAAGACTTTATACACAATAACTTCTCCTACACAAAAAATATAAAACTGTTCCATAAATGGACAACTCACCCAGAAACTTTAAGAGGGCTTAAAGATTTTATGAATTCAGCACTTTGCCCTCTCTTTCAACCTATATATTCCCACTCTCGAAGTAGGCATAAGAGAGTTCTATCGAATGAGTTACAGAAGCGACATATGGAGGTCGCTCGACCGGGTCCCTAGTTTATGCAGGTTACCACTTAGTTTACAGTCACCCGTGAGAATGCCTATTATTCTACTTAACCTCTCTTCGGGGAGGTTTGAGACTCTCTTGTATCTTATAAGGTTGCAGCGGCCCAGTAAGCATCACGATTGAGAGAATACAAAGGTTGCGCCGATCTCGGACCGCTATTCCTCTCTTAACGAATTTGACAGAATCGTTGTTTGCATGAGGTCACACTGGTGCAACTTGTTTACGTTTTCCTTGCAACATTTTTTCTTCTTCTTCCATTCTTGCTCACGTTTTGGCATTTCTCTCTCGCAATTGCACCAGTGTGACGTCACACACAAGTTATTCTCAAAAATCCTCTCCGATCGGCGCAATCTTGTATTCTATCATTCTTGAGTAAGCATTAAAATCGGGGTGTGCTTACGGTGTTACGCCAGTATTGTTCTCTGAGTTTCTCCTTCTCCTTCCTTAGCTCTTCAACGATTGTGCTAGGTCCGATCCTAAAGAAAGGCTGAGGCAATGTGGAATAATTTTCCGTCATCCCTTGTCAAATTTGGTTTGGAGACAAACCGGTTTCGGCGTTGTGCCATCTTCTTCATTTACCGTTCTATGTCACATCATGCAAGTGTTAGCGGATATGTACGTTCATGAGGAAACAACAACAATGAAAATTAGAAGGGCTGAGGCTATTACGAGAAGATCCAGCCGCTGTTCTTTCTAGATGATCTGCTTCTTCGTTGCCCTCAATCCCTATGTGTTATTCTACCCAAATTAGCTGAATAACATTGTGTTCCACCAGGATCTTACGCCCATCAGTGCACTCACGTACCAAAAAGAATTTAGGCTCAAATGGTGGGATTGCCTTGAGTTCAACCTGGATTTTACTAGATATTATAAGTATCTTCATAAAGGAGGTACTCCAAGTTGCCTTGCTGCAAAGATCTACCTGGAATTTTTTCTCAAACACTACTGATTTGAGCTTAATATATCTGGGTAAGAGTGGTACCATAGTTACCCGTATTTTTTGTTCTGCATTGTCGTACACCGCTGTGGCGTAGTGGTAAGCAGTGCGCGCTTCCCCACCGCAGGGCCTGGGTTCAAGCAGCAATGCAAAAATATATAGAAAAAGATGTTTTTTAACAGTGATCGCCCTTCGGTAGGCAATGGCAAACCTCCGAGTGTATTTTTGCCATGAAAAACAGCTTCTCATAAAAATACAATCGCCGTTCGGAGTCGGCGTAAAACTGTATGTGTAAGCGCCAATCTTTCTATATATTTTCGTATATAGAACTAGGCCATTGATAGTTGTGGGTAACCCAGGGCTGGTTGAAAATAATATTGAGTTATTCTTGGTTTTTATTCCCTTTCCCGTTATGATGACGGATGCATATGCAGCTGACTTTACCCCTTACCCCCAATTTTCATTTGTAATTAAAGTTTCTTGGCCTGGAAAGAAGATCAGCTGTGATCTGGGAAGAAGGGTTCTTTTGACGCCCCAATCAATCCAGTAAATCTTTCTTTGTTGGATCCTTGTCTGTAGGACTCTTAATATGTTGTAAGACATACATACATATATAAGTATGTACTAACCTTTATCATTTTTATCCTAACTGCCTCACTGGGCCCTTATTACATATTTCAGGCCGCTGTTCTTTATTCCGCCTAACTCACTGTCTGGGTGGCGTCTCAGCATTTTTCTCCATATGCATAGGTAATAGAAGGCGAAAAGTCTTAGCTCGTCGTTGTCCTCTTGAGCTTTCAATAGTTTTTCTTAGAAGAATAGCAGATACTATAGTCTTCCTTACAAACGTAGAATGCCGCGTTCTCGAGAAATTATAAGGCTCCTGGACTTAGTTGAAAATTTATTAATTTTAGTTATTTTTTCTACCTTGAAGACTCACGCATACTAAAAATACTGAAATTCTTCTTTTCACTTCTTTTACTTCTCCCTTACAGCACAAAAAATATGAACTGACTACACGCTTTTATGATAGTAGTTAAATTTGTAGCAAGTAGTTAGTTTTAAGGTTTTCTCCCCCGCCTTGTAGGCTCAACTACTGTACTCTCCTCCCACCTCGCTGTCCACCCAAGTATAATTTCTTGAACAACACTTTAATGTGTTTAGTCACTTTGCCACCCCCAATCGATTGCATTATCTTTAATTACTTTCCAACTCCAATACTTGCATTGCAACATTGACTTACTTCCATTATGTTTGCAGGACTATGTGACCGTCTACGATGGCTACACCACACGTGACCCAATTGTATTGAAATTTTGTGGCGGCGGACAAGCAGTACCGTCAGCAGTTTCTAGTGGACCAGAGTTGTTGGTGGAATTTACTACATCGCCTTTTGGCACATTTACGGGCACATCTTCACAAGTGCTGCCACTCTACGGCTTTCAATTGGATGTAAGCCTCTTTGATGCTTAAAAATAAACCCAAACCCACTCAACCACTGATGTTTTTTTCTTGCAGGTCGAGGTAATTTTCGTCGACATAATGAGCCCGACCTATTCGAAAAATAAAAAGCCTTGCGAATTTTGGATACGCGGCGCTGGTCGGGGAATACTTGAGAACCCTAAACATTCGTTGTCGCCTAACACCACCTGTCTTTATCATTTACAAGGCATGGGTGTCTTCAAGACCTTCGATCACTTGAGCTTGTCACGTCGCACCAGCGCTCAGGGCATGAGTCAGCCACTTTCACGTTTTAAAGTGTGGATCTCAATGATGAAATTCAATTTGGATCCCGAATTTGGGCAAATCGATGAGACCTCTGTGGGCGCGATTGGTGTACTACAAACGCATGAGGATTGTACTGGCATGCTACGTATCTGGGATGGTGCATTGAGGGATCCACCCGCATGTAAGGATCTCAATTGGTAAGCTCACCAAATAGTGGTGTTTGGGAAAATATTTACGTATTATTTTCTAGCGCAAGCGACACGCCCTCCCATCCGGTGCTCACGCATTACACGCAGAATTCCACCAATGTTATTGCACGTTTCTGCCGTGGTACCATACCGCGCACCTGCGATCGTTCCAACATCAACGAGACCTACGCGCGACCCTGTACGATTTCTGAAAGTTATGTGTCGAGCAGCGACAGCATTACGTTGGAGCTTAAGAACACTGAGTCAACTGTGCTGCGGTGTGTAGAAATGGAAAATGTTACTTAATTCCCGCCTTTCGATGCGTTACATCACTCAATTTTTTTCATTTTCAGTCCACTGGAGTTTAAACTGAAGTACGAGTTCATCGACTTGCATCAGGACGGTCTACCGCTGGCTGGTGGCGAGAATGACTGTAGTCGCAAATTTGTCAGTAGTCTTATGGATCGCAAGGATCCAGCCATCTTTCGTAGTGTGCGCAATATATTTCTATTCGGGCGTGGTGGTACGCGTAACTTGAAATGTATATACAAATTCGAAGGCCAACGGGGCGAACGTATACGTATCAAGTTGCGTAAGGTGACTACGTTGAATCGGCCATGCATGTCACGCGTAGACGAGGACATAAATCGTTCATTTTGTTATGGTGACACAAATGCGCGTATTGAGGTGAGTCTTTTTTATTAAACACTTTGTGCAATAATTAGTTAGAATGGGTTAAGAGTTCAGGAGTTCTCAAAAAATTCGACAACAGACCGCAGCAGCCAAATTTGGTACTGATTCCCGCATGCTCTTAAACCAGCTTGATCTCCAGTCATTCCTTCCAGAAATGGGGAGCCTCGGACATTGCCTGGTAAGGTCAGCGATTGAATTCTTTAAATTAGAACTGTTTAAAAAAACAAGATTATAGAAAGGCTCCATAAGGTAAACGGTTGTAATTTTTTCTTTAATAATTGCTTAAACTAGGGATTATAGAAAAGACTCTGTACAACTGGAAATATGTATACAATTGAAAGAGTCGAAAGCATATCGACAACTTTCAATAACTCTGAAACATTATTGGTGGGGTTTAAAGGGCAACTGTAGATGTGGTTGGTCTTCACAAGCCGACATGTGTTGGGTATGTCTGGAACGAGATTGTATAAGGACTGATGGGTACTATTTTTACTACGGCATTCACGAGACAAGAGTTTCTAAAGGCAGTTTGCACAACGTCCGGTCTAGTAATGTTGCTAAATAAGTGTGGATCTCGTCCTTTATTTCATAAAGATACAACCTGCAGCAGCAATCATGCAGGCGACATCATAATACATCCCGTTGCTGTCCAATATCGGTAAAACGTCGGCGTTGGAGATCAATAAAACTTCCTCAGATGGATGAGGAAGCTTTGTAATAAAAGCACCCATTTCTCTCCAGAGTGCGGTGTTCTGTCAAGTCTGAAGCTTCTTTGACTGCGTCCTACTTAACCCAAACAAATGTAGCGTAATTGAAAACCGGCTTTCCACTATCTTATTTGTCGACAACAACTTCTCTCTGCCTAATCCCTAGTACTGTCAGCGAGCGATTTGAGGATCTTGCTGCGGCGCTGTACTTTATTGTCAATTGCGATTGTGAAAACACTCTTCTTTTATAGAAGAGAGTTAGCGAAAGTCATCAATTCCATTGCCAGGCGCTAATATCGAGCATTCGTTAGCATAGCATATTGAAGTTTAACAATAGTGGGAAACAAGAACCCGGTGGGACGCCTTCTTATTTTCTCTGAGTTTCGAGGTTTGATTTCACTCCAGGCAATTCTCCCTTTACTATTTTAGTTCCTATATTATAGAAGATGTCTCAATGTCATCTAGTGCCGTGGAATGACAAACAGCACTAAAAGCTTGGACAAGTCCAGCACAACAAGAGTAGTTTTTTAGAAGGGTCGGTTACGATTAATGCCTAGCGGAGGTCCATATGCACGTGAAATGCGGGAGTAGTAAGGCCTCAAGTATCTTTACCACTGCGGAAGGGAGAGTTATGTTGCTGGTTTCCGGGGTATTAGTACTGCCTTTTCCATGTCCAAAATGGTCAGAGAAGCTAAAATAAGACTCACACGTTATTTTCAGAGGTAGTGCAGTCTTCTGGTCCCTCGATGTTTGCCCTATCCAACGATTCCTTTTTCATCTGAAATAACAGCTGAGTAAAATAGCTGGAATGTTAATACCTGCTGCGGTGCCTTCCGTTGTTATTTCTAAATTGTCTTCCTCATATCGCTTCTTTAACAAATGAGAACGTCCAACAAAAACTCTAGAGTTTCGAAGCAGCCATTCTTCTGACCTCCTACTTGTTCTTCTTTAAAACTTGCCAAAACGAACATCATTAATAGACATATTTTTGGTCTCGTGGTTTCTGGGATTGAATAATCTGAGTCAATGGGATTTCTTGGACCTACTTAGGCTTTATTAAATAGTGTTATTTGAACTCCTTAGTACACTACTTGTGAGTTGCTTCGAACCTTTGATGCTGGGACCAACTACTAGAAAACTTTTCTTGAAAAAATGTTACATATAATATATTTCCTCAAGTTGATACGCCTGGTATATGCTCTCTATGGCTCGCCATGGCGGTGAGGTGATCACCTAATTCCTAGTATCGTAATCTATATTTGGGCACGAATGCTAGACCGGCATTCCAGTAACTGGCACGAACTACTAACACTCCTAACTACTAACACTCCTAATTTTCCAGATCTTCGAACGACCCTACCACGATTCGATTTTACTGCCACGCGGTTGCCTTTGCAATTCGTCGAACTCTTCGCATCTGCCTGTGGAATACACCTCTACAAGTCGTGATCTTGAAGTGCATTTTACCGCCATAAATATGACCACACTTGACGATCCGGATGCCATAAACTTCGAGGGCATGTTCGAGTTCATCAAGGGACCAGCAAACTGCAAAGATGGACGACGGAAATTCGGTCCAAGTGGCACTATACAGATGACGTTCGGTGATGTGAGTATGAATTGCTTGGGGGTCTTTTTAATGGGGTACTTATTGTTGTTCTTTTTAATCTCCTGCCAATTATCATTCGCAGATGGAATGCCGCACACGACCCTGGTTAATTGAACCTTCGAATGGCAACAAATTTCTCTATGTGCGCCTTAAAGCCATATTCTTGCGTAAATACAATCCTAAAAAAGCAATGAATACCACCATAGTGGGCACAAGCTCATATCGGTGCGAAACCAAAGCTCGCGTCGTGTTAACAACTTCCGAGGGTAAGTAAGAGCTGGAGAAGAGAGTTACGCGAAACTCAAGTAAACTTAGAGTACTTCGAACTTCCCCAACAAGCAGTTTTTTTTTTTAATAAACTTATATTAAAAGTCTGTCTTTCACATCTAGGTTTGACCATCACCGCTTGCCCGCTATCGCCCGACTCAAAAGCTTACGAGTTTGTAGAAATTTTCAGCTCTGGCTGGAATGAGCGTCCCATTTACTCGATTGCGAATCGTTCCAAAGCCATTAGCGTTGAGTATCTGCGTCCTGAGAATGGTGACTTTACATTCAATTGGATGGAATTGGTTCCTAGACCAGTACTGAGTATAGCAGGTAAGCCGATAACTAAGCTGCTTACTTCCGTTTTGCTCGAAAACTTATTTTCACATCAACCTTTTGCAGAAGACTGTCAGTACAAATGCTCCGAACTGGGAGCTTGCGTTAACGCTAGCGTTTGGTGCGACGGCATTGTACACTGCCCCTCCGGTGACGATGAGACCTTCCTACAATGTTCGGCCATCATGAAACTACCCACTGAGATATTGGCCACTTTGTGTCTCATCATTGTGTTGCTGTGTTGCGCCTTTGCCGCTTTCGCATACAAGTGAGTAGAGCAGCGTTTTGCACCATCCATTCCGAAGGACAAACGAAAAATCTCATTTAGGCGTTTTGCTTTCCATTGCAGAAAAATCAAGCGCAAATTTCGCGGTTCATCAGTGCTGCAGACGCGCCTCAAATCGCTGAGTTCTATGGATACGGCCGTGTTGGATGAGAAGGAGGTGATTTGCTGACAAAGCGACAATTCTGTGCGATATGTCGAAATCGATCGTGTGACCACAGTCTGACCACTTTCGATGGAAATATACAAAATCGCGCAGAATTGTGCCCCGGAACGATTCAGCATAATACCAAGCCTAACAAGAATTCGTATATTCGTTTGAATGGACGAAATCGAAAGGCAACAAAGCTACATACATAATTTAAAACTACATACATACTTAGTACGTGTACGACCGACCCGATTCACCTGTTTTTATGCATTTGAATTTTATTCAAAAATTTCGTATGTAAGTTTTTACCCGTATACTACTACTACTACTACAACTACATACTACATGTGTATGTGTGTAATACTACTATTGTGTCGTCTCTATAGAATGATCTTTGTAAAGTTTGCAAAAACAAAACACAAGAAGAACAAAACTATACTTTTTTACGAATAATTTTAAGCCACAAATTAAGGCATCGATCGAATCGCAGAAAACCCAAGCAATTCTTTTTTTTTACATTAAACAAATTTGGGTGTCTGTATGTTTGTACTATATCCTAGTCTAGTTATGTAATGAGTGTTCTAAGTAAGCAAGTGGGAAAATCGTTACTGGACAAAGCTTTAGATTTCATTATAAAATCATTTCAGTTGCAAGTACTACATACGCATATTGTATTTACACATGAGGCATACGATCTCGAAACTATGCTAACGCTGCTAGTTAATCAAATATGTATTTAGATCTCACCTGTTTTGAGTTTTTTGGGTGCATAAATGAAACTTATCTTCAGTCTTTGAAACGTCAAATTCGTTGTCTGATTTCCTTCCCGCACAAAACTTTAACTAACCTTAAGCTTTTGAACAAAGCTTTTTCTTGGAGGTAAGTGTGTATTTCTTAAGGCAAAGCAAGTCCGAAGTTTTTCTCTTTTCTTTATCGTTCTATAAAGCCCGCCTCCCGAGCGAAACAAATGATTTACGCTGTGATTGGTTTCTTGCATTCCTCATGACCAGTGATGCTCAGAGAGAGCTTTTACTCTATGCGCGCCCATATAAAATCTACAGAGAGCTTTAAAAAGTCGTTTTTCTGAATATCTCTGTAGCCACATCCTGCGCGACCTTAAAGAAATTTGGCTCGCGCTTTCGTTCCTGATATTTATTGCCCACTTCATTGCCATGAAAATATTTTCGAATCACAGGCTTGAACGTATTTCTTCGTCTAGGCAGCACTCCCTTGATCCAAGCTGCCTAAGTCCTTGAAGTAACT